AAAAAAAAAAAAAAGAAATACTTCCTCCACATACACTGAGCACATCAGTGTCGTTACTTTTGCTTCAACCATCAGCTACAATTAAAGAAACTTATGAAGTGAAAGGTGGTCAGTCATGTTTACTGCCATGTTTACCCATTCTACTGTTCTTCATTTGCTGAGGGTCCCTGCCTTCTTGTTACAACTTTCTTCCCTTTTGGAGAGCTTCCTTTAATCATTCACCAAGGGCAAGCCTCCTAGCAACACATTCTATTTGTTGGCCTCTGTCTGAAAATATCTTTATTCCTCCCTCATTCTTGAGGATGATTCCGTTGGTGGGATTCACTTCTCTTTCAACACTTGAACAATGTGCCACTTCCTTCCGGCCTCTGCGACTTAGGATGAGACACCTGCTGTCATCCACGTTGGTGTCCCTCCACAGGTGATGCATTGTTTCTTTCTAGCTATGTTTAGCATTTTTTCTTCTGTCTTTAGTTGCCAGAAGTTTAACTATGATGTGTCTGGGTTTTTAGAGGTCTTATCTTATTTAGGGCTTGCTCAGCTTCTTTAATCTGCGGGTTTATGTCATTTGCCAAATTTGGGGAGTTTTCAGCCATTATTTCTTTAAATATCTCTTCAGCCCACATTCTTCCTCCTCTTGTTCTAGAACCCTGGTGACACAAATCACTGCCCTGCAGGTCTCTCAGCTTTTCCTTCTGTCTGGTCCATTTGATCTGTCACTTAGATGGAGTAAACACTATTGTTTTACTTTCAAGTTCCCTGATTCTATCCCCTTGTCTCCCCTCTGCTGTTGTGTCCATCCAAAGGTACGGTGATCACTGTGTCCACTGATGATACAATACTAGTTTGGCTGTTATAATTTTAAGTTCTATGATTTCCATCCAGCTTCTTTTTATAGTTTTTACTTCTTTGCTGAAACTTTTTTTTTTCATTTGTTTCAACAGACCTCATAAATACATCTTTTTAATATTTATTTTAGAAAGAGTGAGAGAGAGAAAGAGTGCACGTGCACGAGAGAGAGGAGGGGAAGGGCAGAGGGAGATAATCCTCAAGCAGACTCCTGGCTGAGCCCAGAGCCCGACACAGGGTTCAGTCCCACAACCCGTGAGATCATGACCTGAGCCAAAGCAAGAGTCAATGCTCAACCGACTGAGACACCCAGGCACCCCGAGACTTAATAAATGATTTTTAAAAGCGTTTTCATGACTGCTTTATAATCCTTGTCAGATAATTCTAACACCTGATCTATCTGGGATTTATGTCAGTTAATTGTCATTTCAGCCAAATAGTGGTTTTCGTGGCTCCTGATAGGACAAGTTGTTTTTGAGCGTATCCTGAACATTTTGCATATCATGTCAGAAGACTTCTGGCATTACTGAAATCTACTATTTTAACAGAAAATTGCCCTATTTAGGTCTAGCATGTAGATTCTGGCCTACTTTTGTGGCTCATGGTACCAGTGAGTTTCATTTCACAGCCCTGGCAACGCCCTCTTGGTCTGCTTTCTTCTTCTGGCTGTTGGGGGAGCGAGGCAGCACCTGCTGGTCCTGGGTCTCCCTGTGCCGGCAGGTGGGAAGCTGGAAGATACTGGGCTGCATGGACTCTGCCCCTGCATAGGAAACTGCCCGTCAGCACTACAAGAGTCGGTGGGCCCGCAGGGGCTTTGATGCTGGTGCATACTGTGGGGTGGAGGTGTGGCTAGGTCTCTGCTGGGTCTCCCCTTTCCCAAGTCCTGTGGCCAGAAAGAGGTGGCTTTTCTTGCAGTTTTCTTGCCTGTGCTGTGACTTTGTTAAATTAACGTTTGTTAGATGGAGCCTGGGCTATCAACAAAGACTGCGTGGGAAAGCGGGACAGAGAAGCTTATGACTCACAGGTCCTGAAGGTACACGGCACAGCACATGGGGAGATCAGGCAGGGTGTAGGCAGAGAGAGGGTCTGTGGACGGAGTGCTTTGGGGTTTCTGGGCTAAGGCTGGATCGGTCAATTCAAACCAAAAGAGTGGGGCTTTGGTAAGCTTTGCAGGGGCTTTATGTAAGAGGCGCACAGGGGTGGGCCCTGGGCAGCAGGGGGACGTGCTTACCACAAGGGCTGTAGGAGAGTCACATCAGGAACTTCACTTACTGTGACTGCAGGCTTTACCTAGGGCATGTGCTCACGGCAGGGACGGGTGTTGGTCCAAAGCCCTGCAGGCCTAGTGGCTACGCTCCACGGACGTCGAGGCAGCAACATCACGGACTACTTTAATGACACTCCCAGGGGCCTGCAGGCAGTTCCGGCTTGGGTTGCAGACCTCTCCGGCACCTGTTCTGGGAAGCTGTAAGAGAGAACGGGAAAACCCAGGGAACCCACTGTGCTGCCACCACCCAGCCCCGAGGACCTCAGCCAGCCAGTCTCCCTGCAGCAATCAGAGCCCCTTGCCCATCCACGGCCGAATTACCGGCAAGGTACTCAGGGGTGCCTGGAGGAAGGGGCAAGGAGCAGTGAGTCTGCACCGTCTCTTCCTGGGGCAGGAAGCCTCCCCATGTTGCGTGTTTGCTGTTCCCCACCTTGAGCAGAACCTCAGCCTTCAAAGAGCCTTGAGTCCTTCTTCCCACCTCCTCTTCCATAGCAGCCAAAGTAGTCTGGTAAACACGCAAACCTGATGGGGCCCACTTTCCCACCCCAGAAACCTTCCTCCGGTCCCTGTTAACAAAAAGGCCCCGGTGGCCTGACCCGCCCTCCTCCCCGCTCCCATCCCTGCTCCCGCCACGAGGAGCTTCTCTTCGCCTCCTGGAACAGCATCAGGTTGCTCCCGGCATCAGTTCCCGGGGCAGACCGGGTGCTGATTTCCTCAGTCTGGAGGCCGGAAGTCCGAGATCAAGGTGTCGCGGGGCTGGTGCCTCCGGGGTTGGCAAGGGGCAGTCTGCTCCCGGCCGCTCCCCCTGGCCTGCAGACCGACATCCGCGTTCACGGCGTCTCCCTGTGTGCTGCGCGCCCCTCCAAAGCCCCCCCTTTAGAAGGGCACCGTCACAGTGGACTAGGACCCCCCAATGACCTATTCCTAACTCGATGAGCCCTGTAAGGGCCCTATCTCCAAATAAGGTCACATTCTGAAGCCCTGGGGATTGGGATTCCGATATAGGAACTTTGGGGGACACAATGCAATGCCGCTCCCCCACTCCAGGGCCTTCGCCCCCGCGGCCATCCCCCTACACCTCTCCCCGCACCGCCCTCGCGGAGCCAACTGTCACCAACCCTCTCAGTCGCCTGTGTTGGCATTTCACGGGCAAGCCTTACCTGTCTACACCAAATTCCTCCGCCATTCACGTCCTGAGGACCGTGCACTTCAGAGTTGCACCTCCCGTCGCTAGACTGAGCCCTCCGCCCGTATGGACCCCGGCGGTTCCGGCTCCCCGCCCCCAACCCGCCCCGGAAGTGTCCTGTCCGCGCCCGGAGCTGCCAATAAAGTTGTGTTCGGAGCCAACCGGAAGACGAGCCGCAATCCGCACCGCGGCCGTCGTGAAAGCGCCGGTCTCCCCGGGCGACGGGCGACGCGCGGAAGATGGCGGCGCTGGTGGCGGCGGAGGCAGCGGCGCCCCCGGGCCCGACCGAGGCGGCCG